GGTTTAGGGCTTAGGGCTTAGGGAACCCTACGCCCCCTAGGCCCTGAGCCCTGAGCCCTTCTGGCTTCGGCTGTGGGGCTGGCGCAGGCAGCAGGAGAATGAATCTGGAGAGATTGCAGGCACTGGCCGCCAGCATGAAGAGCCCTGAACAGGCTTTCGGGGCTCGGGGTCTTATCAGGGTTTAGGGTTTAGGGTTTAGGGGGGTTTTTGTACGAGCCGCTTCGTAAAGACTCCCGTCTTTCAGGGGCTTTGAAACCTGAATGGAATGTAGGATGTAGACCAGGCATGGATATCTCCCGAATCCTAGATCCTCCGCCCTAGTTTCCCTAACACCCCAAAGCCTTGTAGCCGCAAAGCACTAGAATCCCAAAGCTCCCGAAGCCGTAAGGGCGAGAACCTTTTGCACCGAAAGCAAACGCAGACGACACCGCAAAGAGCACCAGGAACAGTGAACCAAAAATCTCCCCCATACCATCGAAGCTCCGGCACGCTGGAGCCCTAAGCCCAAAGTACAGGTTTCGCTTGGGGGGTTAGGACTTACCTAGACCCCCCAAAAAACCATACCTTCTTAAAATAAGGATCCCTAAAAAGAAGGGTTATTTGGGGGTTACGGTAGGGTTTAAGGAACAAGTTTCCCCGACAACTACCTGGGCTCTGACATCCGAAACCCTCCACACCTGCCTGCGAGCATGACGGAGGGGAAAAGAAGTTCGACATGTTCGCCGTTGCCACCTGCCAAGACTGCCGATGATGAGAACAAGGAAGTTACTGATGTTCGACGAAGAATGAAACTAAAGTTGGAATTGTGTCTACCCTAAGCAATCTGCCCATAGTTCAACAATGCGAAATTCACAAAATGCTGATCCAGGCAAAACCCAGAAGTCCTGGTCTAGATGAAGACTTGGGAAACTATCAACAGCTGCAGGCATTAGGAGCAAAATCGGAACCAGAGGAACAATCGCAAGCAAATAGGCAACAGGAACAACTAGGAAATGCCTAGGCCATGAACAGGAGAAGCATAGGACAGGAACACTTAGGACAACTGTTTATGGAACACCTAGGAGAAACAACAAACAATATAGGACCTTCAAGGAACATCCATGGTATTCCATGTTTCTCTTGTTTGTTCGGTAAGGATAACCATTGGGAGCAACAAAGAAACGCATAGGAACGTTTACGAAACCAGTAGTCGGAACTATGGGAACCACTAGAACATCTAAGAAATCAATGGACAAAGATTGGAAAACCACAGAACACCTAGGAACACCATTGAACCTACAGCTTGATGTTGCCTAGGGGTTCTAGTGCTTCCGTCCTGAGCTTTATCGTTTTCCTGACGTCTCCTGCGGTTCGCCTTTTGTTATCGCGAGACAAAGCCGAAATCCATGGGTCTTCTATGAGTTTTCGATATTATTCAGTGATTCTCATTTGCTTTCCTACATGTCTCCTATGGTTCTCATCATGTGTCCTGTTCCTCTTTTCGGGATATGACTGGAGCCAGCAGCTAGCACAAGATATGCACCTGAGATTAGAATAAGACTGATAGTGAGAAGAGCAGCCGCTAATAATGAGAACAGCCACACGGACAGCAGCAGTAGCCAGTAGCGACAGAACCTCAGCCATTGAAACAACTGTCGGTGCTGGTGGTGATGTTGGTCGTGGCGGTCGCAGCCGCAGCAGCGACACTAGTATCGATGGCAAGCCCGATTGACCGTCTGCATTTCGGGGTCCGGGTCCTTTAAGGGATCCTCTAAGCGTCTCATATTAGGCTTTAGAGTTTAGGGCTCTTTTGCGGCCTTTGGATGCTTCCGGCTTTCGGTGCCTAAGGTTCGGTTTTGGCTTTGGAACCGCAGACCCGAAAGTGAGAATCTGGACTGCCACAAAGAGAACTGTCAACCATGGCTTGGAGGCTGTTGAAACCTATGGCCGTTATCACACATCTCGCGCTGAATCAGCAGAGAGGGCTACATCTTGAAGCACTTGGCGAGTTAAGAGTCGCGCAGGACGAGTACCTCTGAAACCTGTCTCTCAGAACCCTCGTCCCCCGACACTTGGGAGCCCGGGCCATCGGAACCCTCCACCCCACATCCGTCCAAATCCCCTGCGAAGCCTAGAGCCCTTCCCAACTCCCCTTGGGCCCTGCACCAAAATCCCGCGCATGCAATCCAACCCTCCGAGCCCTTGGTGACAGAACCCTAAACCCTAAACCC